CGATTGCCCCCTCTCCCCAGATGGCAGCCTGCGGCAAGTGCAGCCGGTCTGATGGCCGAGTGCTGTGATGTGCCCAGTGTGGGTACTCCGGGCACTCCAAGCCAGGACTGCTTTGCAGGCGGGGCACCCGAGAACTGTCTGTCCGGGGTGGGGGTCGGGACCTTTTAAGCACAGCCCTCGGCTAGCCTAAGACAGCATCTCCACGCTCTAAGTCCTCCTCTGATGCCCTGCCGGCACTGCTTCCGGCCATCCTTAACTCCGGTTCAGGGTCCACTCTGTGTGGACATGCTAGTTTGAATTAGCAAAACGCTAATTCGAACTAGTTTTTTAGTCTAGATCCGTTAGTTCGAATTAGCTTAGTTCGAATTAACTATTTCGAACTAAGTTAGTTCGAATTAACGTTGTAGTGTAGACGTACCCCATGACAGTTAGGAAGTTTTTCCTAATGTCCTACCCAAACCTCCCTTATTTCAATATAAACCCATTGTCCTATCATCAGAGGTTAAGGAGAATATATTTTTTTCCTCCTCCTTGTTACAGCCTTTTAAGTACTTGAAAGCTGTTATCACATCCCCTCTCAGGCTACATCTACACTGTGAGTTTTTGCAGCACTAAATATGCTAATGAGGAACTCATTTGCATGGGTCATAATCTCATTTGCATATTTCCTGCCATTTCTTTTTGCGCAAGGGGTTTTTTGCTCAAGGGGTTTTTGCACAAACCCCCTTTTTCCACAAGATCAGGGGATTTGTGAAAAAAGGAAACGGCCACTCTGTTTCTTTTGTGCAAAACTCCCTTGTGCAAAAAGAAACGGAAGAAAATATGCAAATGAGATTGCAACTCATGCAAATGAGTTCCTCATTAGCATATTTAGTGCTGCAAAAATTCGCAGTGTAGACATAGCCTCAGTCTTCTCTTTTCCAGACTAAACAAATGCAGTTTTTTCCATTTTCCCTCATTGGTCATTCTACACGTTTAGTTATTTTCATTGCACTTTGCTGGACTTTCTCCAATTTGCCCACATCTTTCCTGAAATGTAGTGTCCAGAACTGGATACAATACCCTAGTTATGGCTTGCGGGATCGGGATCAGAGGGGAAAACCCTCTTGCTCTTGGGCTAGAAATGTTATTTCCAGTTTACAATAAAGTTCCCAGCCTGCATCCTTCAAGACACCTTTTCAACTACATAAAGTTCAATTCCATTTGGTATAAAAGTGCATTTGCTACTTGTGCAGGCTATATTAGCCATTGAGAAGAAAAACACCCTGAGTTCAAAGAAAAGCCTTCAGGAGATTAGGTGACATTGCACATGGGAATAGTCTGCCATTGCTGCACAAATATGAATGAATAAAACAAATGATTCAGAGGAATAGCTGTGTTAGTCTGTAACTGGAAAAACTTAAAAAACAACAACAAATAGTCTTGCAATGCCTTAGAGATTAACAAAAAAACATAGATGGTATCATGATTGTTGCCTACCTTTTCTATCTGCGTGGCAGTATTACCTTTGGCTCCAAGAAGGACCATGCCTATGGCCATTGAGATACTTGCAGGAGAAAAGATGATATTTTCAGATGACAAATCTTTGTTCACTTTTGTGAAGAAGTCAAGGCAAAATTTGGTAGTTGCTTCACTGATGGAGTTCATTGTGAAAAATGAGACACTGCCTAAGGGGGAAAAAAGCCCAGATCAATAGAGTTCAACAATCTCTTTTCTCAACCTCTTACTGCATCAGATGTTTTCAATATCTTTCTAGCTAGTTATACACAAATGTAAATATAAGTGGGGATAATAATTGAGTTTCTCACCTATAAGATTTGGGACAAATGGGATACAGACTTTTGGGGGGGGACATTCTCATTGAAAATGCAGCTTCATGTCTAGTTTCCCACTCAGAAAATTGAGACTATCCTTTTCTTGCCTAATGTTCAACACTGCAAGGAGTAAAAATCTTCTACCAGCACAGTTTCTTTGAGTGTGATGCATGCAGATGTATCTCCTCATCTGATTTCAGGGAATTACTCGTGATTTACAACAGTATGAGCTAAAAATCAGGTATCCTAAGAGAGTTTGTTCTGTTTTCTGTAGTATGTGATTAGGGCCACATTGAGCTGTCTTTTGTACCCAAATATATCAAGAGTAACTTCAGAGGAGTTAATTCACAAGTGTAAAAACACAAGTGTAAATGAGAGCCTAATTTGCTATCTAGGTAACAACAGCAGACAATGGGGAGAAAATAATTGTATTAATATGTAATATTAATATGTAATGTCACTGATTCAGCTTCTTATATTATAAAAGAAATATACACTTGTAAGATGTGAGAGCATCTATGTCTTGCAATACATTTCACAATTAGGATTGACTCATGGAAAGACTCTAATCTAATCCATCTCTGTTAACTCTGAAAAGGACCACCCTTGATTTCTTCCCGGTTAGGTATTCCAAGACTTTCACAAATTAATACAAAGACCCAGATCTAGAAAAGTTTCCTCCAGCATTATGGGTATGTCTAGACTACATGGCTCCGTCGACAGAGCCATGTAAACTAGTTTACCCGGCATAGGCAAAGAAGCGGGGATTTAAATAATCCCCGCTTCATTAAAATGAACATGGCCGCTGCGCTGTGCCGACGATCAGCTGATCTGGCATAGCGCGGCAGTCTAGACGCAGATCTGTTGGCTGGGGAAGCCTTTGCCGACAGATTCTGTAAACCCCGTTTCATAAGGAATAAAGGATCGGTCGGCAAAGGCTTCCCCAGCCGACCGATCCGAGTTTAGACTGCTGCGCTGTGCCGGATCAGCTGATAGTCAGCACAGCGCAGCGGCCATGTTCATTTTAATGAAGCGGGGATTATTTAAATCCCCGCTTCTTTGCATATGCAGGGTAAACTAGTTTGCATGGCTCCGTTGACAGAGCCATGTAGTCTAAACATACCCTACAGGAAAATGCAAGGAAGAACAGACCATGAACTGACACCTCTTCACTGAAAGATTTTAATAACAGTTTAGAAAAACACCTGTCAGGGATGAGCTAGATATTGCATATTCCTGCTTTGGTTCAGGAGACTGGATTAGGTCAGTGTTTCTCAACCTTTTTTAAAATAAAGTACCCCTTCTTTTTACATATATAAGTACCCCAGTACCTACAGTTTTCAGACACGCACAATTTTTTTCTTCCATTGCAACACATTTGTTTAAACAACTTAATCATAGCTGGGCGGGAGATGAAATTTTTGTGTTTAAAAAGTACAAAAATAATAAAACTTTAAAACTTAAAACAAAAATTCAGTTTTCTCCAAATTTCAGTTGTGTTGACATACCTCCCCAGACTTCTTGTGTGTACCCCTAAGAGTATTCGTACCACTGGCTGAGAAACACTGCTCTAGATGACCTGTCCAGGTTCCTTTCAGTCCTTCATTTCTATGATTTTCTTACTTAAATATTCCATTTCCATCTCAGATCCTTTTTAAAAATATGCACAGATTTACTGATGACTAAGCTTGAAAAGAACAATGTGGGTGTTATTTTTTAATAAAAAATGCTTTGTTATGGAAAAGTAAGAAGATTGTTGAGAATTTCTTTTCCTAATCATTGATTAATGGCTACGTTTTCACTGCGAGTTCTTCTGGCAGAAAATATGCTAATGAGGGACTCATTGGAATGAGTCACAATCTCATTAGCATATTTTCTGCCATTTCTTTTTGTACAAGGGGTTTTTGCACAAAAACAAGCAGTGTGGACATTTTCTTTTTGTGCTAAAAATCCTTTTTCCGCAAGCTCCTGATACCCCCCAAAAGTAGGTATACCGATCTTGTGGCAAAAGGGGTTTTTGCACAAAAAGAAAATGTCCACACTACTTCTTTTTGCACAAAAATCCCGCCTATCACAAAAACGGATCTGCAGAAAATATGCAAATGAGATTGCGACTCATGCAATTGAGTCCCTCATTAGCATATTTTCTGCCGGAAGAACTCACAATGAAGACGTAGCTTTATAAAAGCTGGCAAGTTATACATTTCACAAGAGTGTTATGCTCTGAAAAGCAATGGCACTTAAAACATTTTATGTAAGCTCTGCAAGACAAATTTTGCTTATACACTTATATAAATACATTATAATTTACTATAAAAAATCAACAATATCTGTGGGGATCAGCCCTTCTGAGAATCAGGCTGCTTATTTAGGTACCTAAATCTAGGTTTAAATTACTAGTTTTAGGCACACATCTAAAATTTTTGTCAAAATGCCTTTCCCACGGTGAGCCCAGAACATAACAGCAGAGGCAGGATCACAGTATTGCACCTTTAGCACATGATCCTATAGGGATGTAACATTCTTGACAGCTGGAATAATCTGTGCAATCGTAAAATGGACTGGGTATAGCAAAAGGACTTTTTAAAAATTCCCTTCAAAATTATAACAATAACTTGAACAGTAAACGTAAATAAAAGGAATCCTACCTGGTTTGAGAGAGGATGTTTGAAACTTGCTAGCTGGTTGCTGGAGGGGTTGGGATTTAAAGTATCTGTAACACCCACTGGCATTATCATCTGTTGAAATTATTAGCTGTACGATTGCTTAAAGGTAACTTTCACAACTAATTACACTGCTAACTACAGAATAATTTTGTTAGTCATAAACAGTGTTCCTTGTGAGCTGTGAGCTTGAGCAACCATCCAGGAACTATTCAAATGCCATCAGCTGATTAGCAGTGTGCCCACAGCCAGTAGCATGTGTTTCAACTGGTGGTACACATCTGCATATGCTTCAGTGCACATAAAATGTATTCTGCACATGGATGGAAAAGTTATAGGGAACATTGGTCATGAAATATAATTACCATTCTCATACAATACTGATCCTCCAACACAAAGCTGTCCTAAATCTGGTATATTCCCTCTTGGAATTCTCCTCCACTGCCATAGAGCTGCAGTAGCCTTGACTAATAAACAGAGTGTAGCCAGGGAAAGGGGAATGTGCTTAACTATTCACCGGCGAAGGCCCATTGAATTCAAATGAATAAAGTTAAATGTATGTTTAAGTTTTTGTAGGATTGGGACCTTAGTCATTGTACACTCACCAGTTGCATAAATAATTCCAGAGGAGAGGTAGGACAACCTAGCTGTGTTTAATTTTGTGGCTGAGAGATCTGCCAAGACATGGGATTGGATAATAAATGTACAGTATCTGTTTAAGGCCACAAGGAACCATTATGATCATCAAGCTCAGTGCTTCCCAAACATTTTACATGCCTCCCCCCTGCCATGCCCAGAGCCCTGGGCTGCAACACCTAAAGCCTCTGTGTGCTGTATTCTGTGCCAGCACTGCCTGGCAGGGGAAGGATGTGACTCCACACACTGCCATTCCCCCCCTCTTCTCCTGCTGTGACGAGGACCACACCGGGAAGTTCTGTCCTGGCACTGCCCTCACCTGCAAGCTCTGCCCCCCCGCCATAGTTCCAATTGGTCACAATTCCCAGCCAATGGGAATAGCAGGGGTGATGCCTGGAAGCGAGCACAGGCCACTCAGAACCACTTGTTTCCCACCCCCACTTCCCAACCAAACAGAAGCTGCCCTGGGTAACCACCCATACCCTAGCTCTCTGCCCCAGCTCCCATACTCTAACTCCCTCCCAGCCTTCACATCCCAACCCTGAGCCCCCTCCCACAACCAAACTCCTGCCCAAAACCTCCCCACCCCCCAAAAAAGCCTCCTATTCTGAGCCCCTTCTGCATTCCAGATCCCTAGACTGCAGTCCTTGAGTGGCCTGGGAAAACAAAATACCTGGCACCTCCATTCTTTCAGAGAGAAGTAACTCAAATCCAGCAACCCTTGCACCACAAACAGGGCCAGTCCTAACCAATTGGCGGCCCCAGGCATCCATAGGGTTTCCAGATGGTTTCAAAAAAATACCAGACTCAGAAGGCCAGGCCGAAGACCGGCTCTGTCGGTGGCCCCTTGAAAATGGCAGCCCCAGGCAACCATCCACCTCGCCCGCCCATAAGACTGGCTCTGACCACCAATGCCTCATCCCCAGCTCTACCCCAGAGCTCGCACCTCCAGTAGGAGACCTCATCCCCTCCCGCACTCATCCTCCTGCCTCAACCCACTGCTGCACACAGATCTCCTTATTTTTGGCCTCATCCCAGACCCTAGGGGCCCCACAAAAGCTATTAGCCCTGGGCCCCCAGAAGACTTAATCCCGCTCTCCCTTTTTCTGTGAAGAAAGAAGGAATTGGAGACTTTATTAAATATTGTTTGAACTTTACCCATATCTCTTCCCTGAAGGAAACAGAGGCTAAATGGGTTTTTTTGAAATCCTGAGAGAAGGTTATTGGAGTTGTGCTACTTTTCTCTGAAAGAATGGATACTTTGTGTTACCAAGTCATGCCGAGACTCATCCTTTGTTTGTTCCAACTGGAGGCAAGGTAACTTTGGCACTGTTTTATGGATGTCTTGCTATACTTCTTTCACCATATTAATTGTGATAAGAAGAGGCGTGCTTTTTGGGGTGTGTCTCTAAATTTGATGATCCTACAAAATTTTTCACCATATTAATTGTGATAAGAAGAGGCGTGTGCCTCTAAATTTGATGATCCTACAAAATGATTACAACTAGTCAGAACAATGGGGCTGAAGGAAGCGCACCTCACTTAGAACGAGTTTTTCAAGTCAGGACTCCAAATGGGTGGTGTCTAACACCAGACCCTATGATGTAGGATCTTGATCTCCTGAGACTGACCACAAGATTTACCAGGATAGAGGGAACTGGGAGCTATGAAAAGACCAGGACTGCTTGGAGCGGTGCCTGCTCTCCCTCACCAGCTAGAGCAGAAAGAGCGGCCTTTGCTGGTGGAGTGACATGTGGGAGTCGGGACTTAGAGCCCAGCAATCCCAAAGAGCTTTCTAGAATGGTGAGGAAGCTGAGGCAGTGAATGACATCCAGGTGTCCTGTATTTTGCATGGAGGTGTACAGAGTACCTCTGCTGTGTTGTTGAAAAGTAAATGTGATGGCAGCACTGCCAGCTCTCGCAGTAACTCCTTAACTCACAACAGTTGGGCTGAGTTTGCAGCCACTATGGCAGTAACCTGAAACACCCCCAGATTCCTGGTGAACGTCAGTTCTGACTGAGAGGGAAGCAGCCAGACTGTTTTCCCCTCTAGGGAAGAGGAGCCAAGCTAAGCTGCTTCCTGAATCAGGCAGAGCTCCCCTCCCTCTCTCCTCAGGAATTGATGCCATTCTCAGAGAGGTGAGAAGGGGAAGAAAAGGAGGGTACAGAAAGAGTCCTACAGCTTGGGGTAGCTCCCCATCATCTGTGAACAATGAGGACGGCTCCCCTGCTTCTCCCCTTTGTCCTTGCAGCACCTGGCCTGGAGGGGGCAGCAAGGAATTAAA